CTGGGTCTGTTATTTTATTTTTCAGTTATATTCTGTTTTTTCCCTTGAATGGGCCGATTGCGTGCGCCTCGTGTGCTGCAGGTCTTAACTGATTCTCATTGATTAATTGCCATCATTAGCATACGGCAACGACGGCATGATTGATATGGATATGGCCAAGTACGCGTATATATATATTTTTTTTTGTATATATTTATATATGGTATATGCTATATATGGCTGGACCACCGGCGAAGTTTCACCTCGGCAAAGTGGAATGTGGAGCTCTTAGTGCCATACAGCACCTTAAAAGGCAAGTGACTCTGAGTTTTTGGCATAGAGAGATCCAATGGGCGCTAATTGTTAACAAATTGTTGGCCAAAAGGGAAAAAGAGGGGCGAAAAACACGCAAGGTTCCTTTAGTATCGGCACATATATCTCCCCCTGCTTTATTTTTTTTTGTTTTGGCGACGCACGCAATCTTCGCGTAACTGAGAAAATCCATTACAAGTCTTACACAGGGTCACGCAGCCCAAATCCTGAACCCTTTTCCGATTTAACATACTTGTGGATGCCAAGAAAGTCGGTGGAGAGCGGCATTGTCAAGTTTATTAGACCATTCTGCAGGATGGATGGCATAATAATAATGATGAGGCACATTCCAGGGATAATTTCCAGAGCCTGGGAACCGTAATTGAATATTAAATGCAAATTTTACACTAATTTGAGGCACCTGAAGGTTTCAGAAACCGCTAACAACATTTTGATTAATCTCATTTAAATTGCAGGTATTTTTTCCGTGTTCATTTTTTAACATTGCAGCTTTAAAGTAGGGAATTTTATAGAAGATTAAAGCGATTATAGATTATTTTGAACAGTTTATGAATTTTAAATAGCATTTTAATTGGAAAATGTATATAGATCCGTTTAGCAGTGATAAAGTCATCACCTTAACCATCAAGTTAACCACCAAATCATGGCAATGATCTAATCCCAATATCTTAAGGCCTCATCTTTGGAGGGGGGAGTAGCCTCCCCATAATATTCCCCCCGGGATCGCGGAATGTCCCGCATTCAGAGTGATGGATAGACTCATCGAATGGACTCGGACTCAATTTCTCGTGGATCTCATTCACACGTTCTCATATTTCCTGTCCCCACTTGGGCAACAATTTAATGGCCTCCACCTGCTCCTCCTCCATTCTCCATACTCGTCTTCCACATGTGATATGTGATCGATTGAATAGACGGGGCCGCCCCATAATCTAGAGCCATCGTGATGATCGTGGCTCGTCATCATTATGCGGCCCATGGAGGAGCTGTAGCTGCCATAACTTTCCATCAACAGTTTCAATTTCAATATATAGTCCAGTCGCCCGTGGAAGTCCAAGTCCCCCGATATTATACTTCATGTCCCTTCTCGTCCACTGTCAGCGATCGGGTAAAAGTAGCTAACTACCAGTTTTTCCAACCTTTTCATTTCATTTATGTTTCTTTTTGATTTTTATTTTTAGTACCCTGCAAGTATGGAGTATGTAAAGTTTTAGCAAAGGAAGCTAATCAAAAAAGGAAATATTATCTTTGTAAATATTTTTGGTATTTATCTTTTAAAATACTTGAATTATTTCATAAATATTTTTATTTAATAAAATATGGAAACTTTTTTTTCTTTTATATAATTAAGGTATTATAAATAGGAAATAGTTTAACAATATCCTTCGTTTTGAATTAATGTTGTAAAATTTTTAAAGGGTGTTAAAAGTTCCCTTTCTTTTTAGTTTTAATTTCTGCCGTTTGTGTTTTTGCTGCTGGCTTTTTGAGGAGGATGAGCTGCTGCTGGGGACCTTTGGATACACCGCCTGGGGCAACAATTTCATTTTCACTCCCGAGGCAGCAGCTTTTTGATGATTATGATGGCGAGGATGATGATGATGAGGTTGCGACGACCGCAGGCAAAAGTGTGCCCCAATTTAATTGAAAGCGGTTTTCGAGCGGCCTTGGACACTCTTTTTTTTTGTATTTTTTGTTGTTCACTTTTTGCAGTTTCATTTCGAGGTGTTGCTTTTTAGCTTTAGCTTTATTGATTGAATTGACGAAATGGAAATTTGTCAATTCTCACCTGGCCATGTGAATAAATATTTATGGTGTGATGGTTCACCGTTTCCAGATCTTTGCGGTCGACTTTCAGTTTTTCGTCGTTCGTCTTTCGTTTGCCACACAGGCACACAGGCAAGGTCAGAAAAAGTCTTTAAGATAAGGGGTACTGAATAAATACCCTCAACGCAGCAGACAACTCAATCGCATCCTTGCGGCCAGCGTGTTATCCTGCCTACAAGAATAACCTTTTAATTAAACCATGACGATAAGAGGGCTCCTCCCAAAAAGAGAAAAATAAAAAAACGTTTGACGCTCTTCACGCGTGTTTGTCATATCGGAAATGAAGAACCGGACTTATCGCCACGGTCCTCGATGAATGGAACTCTCTCACATTTGAGGAAGGAAAGGATAAAAAGGGATGTCGAGGAGGGGGCAGGGGTATCGCCTCATGAATGAAACTCGTTTGACATTTGGCAAACGATTAGATTTGACTGCAAGTGCATTAGTTTTATCCAGCTGCACAAGTTGTCTGCCTTCTTTTTTTTTATATTCCTTACCTGCAGATGCAGATTCAATTGTATCTTCTTTTTTTTTTGTGTGGCTACACGCTACACGCTCGCTATCCTTATCGCGTTTTTTTCTGTTTCTGTACTGGGTTCTTTCCTTTACGATCTTACCACCAACAAAGCCTTTTTGGCCAGCAATTTCGCGGTTGGCCCCTCTGATGTCATAAACTGCGGCCATTAAAATGAAATTTCAATTGCAGCCGAATAATCATCGCATCCCAAGGGGCCAGCCGATCGCGAATTGAGCGATTAACTTGCACTTTCCCTGCTCCCAATCGAGATCTCTCTTCCTATTATGCTCAATTAATGTATGAAGTTATCGAAAAAATTGGAAAAATAACAAAGATATTGTTTATATGTATTAAAGAATGCTTTGGGCCTTTAAAAAAATATATTCATGTTGCAGAACATATATTGGGAAAAATACAAAAATATAGTTTTTCTACAACATTTATATCCATAAAAATTGCTTTGTGGCGCCGCTTTTGTTTCAGACCTAGTTATATTTTCGATCCGCTTCTTAAATCATCTTTTTATGTGGCCCCCTGGCTGAGCTCGCATTTCACGCCTTCCCGTGACCTTCTGCAATCAATTAAGACATTGATTAATAAGCATAAAACTTTTGATTTGCTATGCCTTTAATTGAATACCACTTTGAGGTACGAAAGTGAACTGTTAAATGCCCAGTTTAAAAGTTCGTTTCAATCCACATGGTGGCAAAACGAAAGACTGAAGCGCCGAACTTGATTTTTTAACAGCTTGCGAGATAACTTTGTTGTCGGCACAGCGAGCGGTGTGTCAATTTCAACTAGGAATGAAGTGGCGCCTTCAATTAAACTCAAAAAAAAATTCGGAAAAAAACACTGATGAAGCTGCAAAAAGTCGGTCTTTTATTTTTTGCGAGCGTTATTATAAAACCGCAGGATATTCAAATCGAAAATGCAAATCCAAAAGATCCGAAAAACTCATTCGAAACGGAAGCCCCAAATGGCAGCGTGAAATTAAAGGGCGTCTAACATAAAATTAGCAGCTCGTTTGGTTCAGCGAATTTATGGCATTTGAATAACTCAAATTATAGGGCCTACCGCTGACTGACTGACTTTTATCTCAATATTTGTTTTGGCCAAGCAAAGTATTAAAAAAATGGAGGGGAAATTTCTATAATTTGCATGGACTGCGGTTTTTGGCCTTATTTTTTGGCTATGTAAATCATGTGCCTGCCTTAACCGCAAATTAGCCACACGTACGATATTCTTCGTTTCTCGTTAAGCCGCGACCGAATATCCGAATATCCGCCTTAATGTTGCCCAATAAATATCAGACAGTCTGGCGTGTTAATAGAGCAAGTGTTGTTTTGCTCACTTTTGGCGTTAAGTGTTTCGCACAGGAGGCTTTTTTTCACCATCCTTCGACTGTCCGTCCGTAATCACTAAGTAAATAAATGTTGCCTGCTCCTTATTCCTCTGTTTGTTTTTCGAAAGTTGGACAAAATGCCACGCCCCCGAAACGGGGGGCATAAATCATCGCCTGGGATGTGATGTGGGGTGTTGTGAATAATCGCAGATGCACAGAAAAAAAAGAATCGAAAAATTAAGAAGAATTTCTTGCTCTTACCTTCTTATTTTTAAAAATTAAATTCAAATAAAATTCTCAAATAAATAAAAAAAAGAAAACATAATACGAAACTGTTTATTGAAACTACTGTTACGCTGTTTATAATCTTATTATATGTTTTTTCTTTAAATAATATCATTACAATTTTTAAAAATATAAAATAACCTGCAAAAACAACAAGGGCATACAAAATGTAATTTTTTCCCTGTGTAGTTTTGAAGGCTTAAAGCCGCGAGATCCCAGATGTGGGGCCACACTTGTAATTATGTGTGAAAACCTTACTTTTGAAGGGCGTTAAAACGTAGCATTTGCATGCCAAAAGGCGGGATTTTGAAAACGGGTTTAACTTTCGAATTATTTCAGCCCCAAAAGTAGGTTGTTTTCCTTAGAAGTCGGTCATATAATACAGTCCTTTTATTTACCTGAAGAGTAAACTATAAATAGCGCCACCTATCGGATGTCAAAAATGCTATGTAAAGTTTTAACAGATTCATCTATAAAAATGCGTCTCAAAATGATAACATTTTCATATAAAAAGTATGCAATGCTAGTTAAATATACAAGAATAAAATTTTTAAAAAACGAGTGAGAAAAGAGAAATTAACGCTAAAAATCTAGAAATTATTAGAAGCCATTCTATACTTACACCTCCGTTTTCCATTCTTCAATAAGTTCACAAAAACAACAATTAAAAAAAAAAGATTTATAAAAAAAAAATAGTTTATTTATTTTCTTGATTAAAAACAAAGCTAGGGGAAATACTCGATTTGCCACTTGCCAATACATCGTGTGATTTTTTGTTGTTTTATCAAATAACCGCTGTTGCCCTGTGTTTATGGTTTCATTTTGCTCATGAGAGTGTTTTGTCATTAAATATCCTATACAAGAAGCGAGAGTGAGTGGGAAGATATGGGTTAATGCTTAACCCTGATGCTGGTGGTGCCACCATCCAGATTGGCGGGCGTTCACATAGGTTTTCAGGCCATCCTGACCGATCGATGGAGCCGGTTGATGGGTGGGAAACAGATGGGGACCGCTTGTCTCGTAATTAATTCCATTGTGCTGATTGAAAATGTAAGCCTTTGGCACCTCAACACCGGCAGGACCCACTGTATTCGAGGTTACACTGATGCTGGATACCACATTTCCCGGATTTCCGGCTGGCAAATAAGTGCGACTCGGGGGCGGTGGCGATGAGACCCAACTGGTCTGCGGTTTCTGTGGCAAAACAGGACGATATTGTTTGGTGTACAACGGTGGACCGATGGGCAGAGCAGCTGCTTGCTTGGGTATCGAAACCGTATTCGGTGGCCCGTAGGCATTATTCCTCAAATCACACACAGTATTCTCAATCAGTGTGGCCAGCGGTGCGGTGTAAATACGGAAATTGGTATCAGCATAATCCAGATCGGAGAGCAAAAAGACTGGCATGCGATCCGATAGAACCCAAACATTTTTATTCTCATCAATCTTCACATCGGCCGGAAAGACCAGGCCCACATCATCGCGATCCACAATGCCATGGAATTGCGGTGAGTAGGGCATCGAAGAGTGCCAGCAACCGACGGCATTTTGATCGATTAAATTAAACAACTCGATGCCATCGTCGCTCATCACACGCGAAGTGGTATGGGCATTCGGACCACGTTCATCGAGGGCCACAAAATCATGGTAGCTATCCTCTGTCCTGGTCTCATCTCGCAGAATCCTCGTGGAAACGGCAAACTGTCGATGACTGGCCAAGGGACTGAAGTACAGGGTACGATAGCCGTCCGAACGAATCGGCGACAGGGACATGCCAAAGATGCCCTCCTCGCCCCATTGGAAATTAATGCCGGCCACATTGAAATCGCCCCTCAGAGGATCGGGGAAGAAGTACGAATGGGCCGAGAACCGCCAGGATTTATTCAATTCCCACGAGTAGGCAATCAGGCCATAGCCCAGTTCATCGGCAAAATAGGCATAGGCATCGTCGCAACTCTTGCCAATATCCACGGCAATATTGGCGATGAAGGTATTCGGATTGGTGTCCACACCAGGAAGTTCGTATCTCCGGATTCGCGTATCCGTGGTCAGATCGAAAACATTCACGGCGTAGGGGCAGGGATTGGTGGTGGTATTGCCAATGCCCACGGTTCCAGTGTCCAAAACCCACAGACGACCGCACTCGTCGACTTTGATGCGATACGCGGTCGTTATGCTGTTCGCACAATCTCCAGCGGTATTCGATCGCCAATCGGGATAGGGAATCAGTTCCGGTGAGCCCGTCAGGCTGCGATCCATGTTTATATAAGTCAGAGTGGCTGGGATTCCTGAAAAAAAGATATTAAAGATGGGATTATTAATGGAAATAATTGATATGGAACTTAAATGATTTGATTTTTAATTGTATTTATGAACGTTATTTTATTGAATTTGAATTAATGTATCCTAATATATTAGTATATATTAATAATATTTTTAAAAATATTTGATTATCATGTTACTTAATTGCACTAGTTAATTGCCAATTGGTAATACTTGCCCCAGATTTTTATTTTTATTGAATTGAATAAATTAAATGCATAGTAAAATAATTTTATAGATATATGCAAATATTTCTTGTATATTTCATTTTGTAATTAATCCACTCACTTAAAATAGTGCTCTGTCTGCCGGATAATAAAAATGTTATGGTAATACTATAATTACCCACATTTCTATTACCAAAAAAAAAAACGCTAATAAAACTGTTAGGTCTTGTCTCGCCAAAGAACAGAAATCGTTGAGGTGTTGTCTCTTGTCATCTCTTTGCGACACCCGGAACTTAAAATTATTAACCATTGCGCTGCGCTAACGACACTTTTAATTTCTGGAATTGTATAATCTCTGGAAGTTCTAAACTTCGCGAGGTATGACTTAAGTGTAAACTTGAGTCATGAGTTGGCTCATAAATTTGCACTGTTGCAAGTCGCATGCAATTTCGGATGTCATTAGCCGGCAAAACTGAGGCAACTCTCGGGGGCTCTGACATCATCATCAATATATATATGCGATATATCTGCGATATGTGTGAGTGTCTCGAGTGATTTCCGCTCCAGTTGCTTCTCTTCTATATCTCTTGGTTAATTGAATTTCCAGGCATTTCTGGTTTCTTCGTGCGGTATTTTCCTTTTTAATGCAGCGGGCGAGCGACATCGCAACGCCCTCTTTGTGGACCGAACCGCCCCGTTCGATCCGCCCATTTATCAGCGATTAAGCGATACAGTTGACAGCGATTTTTCCGCCCCATCAGCGGCTTTCAATTTGTGTGTTTTTTAACAAATTAAGTGGTTCGATTGGGGGAATTCAATTACATAGATATTTTATGGAGATTGATAACAAGGTGGAAAAATTATAGAGAAATTATGGAACAACTATGGTGAAATTGTGGGTAAAATAATTAAATATACTTAATATGATTTTAAATTTTGAATGCCTGGTAATTTGCTTCAATTAAGTTTTAATTGAATTACATGGAAAATTACAAATGAATTTTATGGAGTTTGATGGCAAAAAGGAAAAATTATAAAAAAAAATTTATGGAAAAATAAATAAATATAAAGAATTTTATTTGAAATTTTAAGTAGCTGATTTAAAATGTTTATAAGCCACAGTTTAAAAGGAGGAATTTCTTTGGAATGCAATTGATTCCTGTTTTTTGTCCACCAAAAATATTTGACAACCCAAAACATGTAATTGAAGTATCAACATTCTTGTTTTTGGCTTTTTGTGTTTCCATCTTTTTTGCTTGCAACTTTGTAAGCGTAATCTGTAAATCAGATTTCAAGTCACCGCCCCCCTGAAAGTCAGCCATTTTTTTCTGTTGGCGATCTCATTTGTGATTGAGATTAAGACTGCGTCTTGGGGTGGGCCACACATATCGTCGTGGCTATAAAGTGGCTAATGCGTCCACTCGGTGGCTCAATGGCTCAGTGGATCAAGTGGCTCAAGTGGTCAGTGGTTGGCGGTTCAATGGCTAATGGTGGCCGCCTAATGAATCTGTATGAAACACGAGCTGTTGAGTCGTTATCCGGCCAATTAATGTTGGCAATTCTTGGTTTTTAGCTTCACTTGCAGTTTCTCGATCGCATTCGTACCCGCATTCTCATTTCAATTTCGATTTCTCAGATTCGATTTCAATTTGTAATCCTGTCGTATACATGGCTCATTACTTATGTGGGAATAAAAGTAATGCCGCAATAACCGTCGGTTTACTTTGTGATCGGAACTGATTTACGCGCGAACCTTCAATTGGATTATCTAATGCATTTCGATTTTGATTTTTTATTTTGATTTTGATTTGCCTGGGTAAATAAGACCCATTAATCATAGCTCATAACTGTCAACTTCAGGTGTTTTTTCTATTTGCCACCGACTAATTGATTTGCTTCGATGGCCATTGAAGCGTGCCTCCAAAAGTATTCCACTTTGCCACAACTTTCACGTACTTTTGTTTGCTTTAATTTGGTCTTTATTTTTTGCCGAAACGGCCTTCTGGGCGTTTTGTTATTATTATTTCTTTGACTTCAGCTAGGCATTCGAAATCTTTTTCAAAAGAGACCTCAAGGTTGGGCCAGAATTTAGGGATATGCTTTTGAATATTTAATATTATGTATTTTACATAATTATTTTTAAACTTTAATAAAATATTATTTCCTATTTTAAGATTAATTTTGCACTCATGTCTTTGAAATAATTTTCAATAAAATATTATTTCCTACATTTCGTTTGCGAAATACACCTTTGTTGTAATCATTTGGCAAAATAACAAGACAAAAACAATTTGCTAATTTGTGTGTGAAATAGTCTCTAAGCCGCAGAACAATGTCTTTATAATATTTAGACTTTGTGCAACTCTCACTTCGATCCAACTGAAAGCTAATCATTGGTTAATGGCATAATGCCATAATATGTTATTGTTTGTGATTGGATTTCCATTTCCATTTTTGTGTGGCGACCCTGAAGAAGCCTTCACAATTCGGATGGTCATATAATACCTTATAATACCATATACCTCATATAATGCCAATGCCGCGCTATTGGCTTCGATTTTACAACGGTTAATTGTTTAAAGTTTTCAAATGTAAATGCAGCACGCAAGTATCAACCGGATTTATGAGAGGTCAACGCGCTGAAAACCAAGTCAAAAAAAAAAAACCCGCCACCCTCAAAAAAATGTTTGTCACTTTTCTGGAAGTTTTCCTTTCAGTTCTTTATCAGCCGGAAAGGAGAAAAACCTAGTCTTATAAAGCATATTTAAATCGTAATCCTAATAGAATCATAATCTACAATATGAAATAAAATATAATTACTTAGGCAAAACTTTTCCTGGAAAAATTCTACATGTAAAATGTATCTAATTATTTTATTTTAAATTTTCCTAAGGATTTAGGTATAAACAATTCATTTTGAAAGATTCACTCTCAAATATTTATTTTTCGTAAGCATTCTGTAATTATTTAAATATCAAATCAAAAGTATTGAATTATTTCACACTACACTTCCTAATCAATAATAAACATATCTAAAATTCTTCACACTTTTTTGGGAATTCAACTGACAATTTGTTTACAGCATCCATCTATCCCAACGATTTTCACTTGCTTCACACTCTGCTTTTGGTCAATCGAACCATTTATAAAAACTGCCAACCGTCAGCAATTCCTCAATCACTTAGATTCCACACCCAATTTGTAAGTGCTAATGATGCCCAAAGTTAGGTTGGTTCGCTTGCGATCACCATAAGGATTGGCTATCCGGCTTGTAAATTGAAAAATCAGATCCCGAACTTACCGTCTCGCCAGCGAGGAACTGTGACGAATAGTCGATTGCCAAAGTGCTCGACGCCAACGGGAAGACCATTTTGTGGAATATAATCGCCACTGGCGAGGGCCTGCTCCTTCAATCGGGCATTCGGGAAGGCGAAGTCCAGTTGGTTCCAGCTATAGCGTTCCTGGAGCTTGTAGGCAGCCCACGAGGGCGTGATCAGGGTGATCACCAGTGTGACCAGGGTCACCGGGATCCATCCTTTATCCTGCAACATCATGGCACACTACTAACAACGAACACACCACCGTAACACTGGGGCCAAAATGGTTTGGCAAAAAAAAAAAAATATATTAAACAAATATAATTTAAAGTTCTTGGGGCGGCGTTCTTTGGTGTTAGTTAGTCTCTGGGTTTTATTTTTTATCCTCTTCTGTGGACCGTGGCGCGCTTACGACTGTTGGCCACATTATGTCGGCCACGTTTTATATGAAGTTTTTTTTTCCCCGAAGACGAAGACTTGGGCCAATGAAAACGAAAACGAAGGCGCCAACTTCGGTGGTTTCAGTGGTTCGGCTGTTGGTCTAAACTTCGGGCATTTATTTTTTAGTGCGTGGCTTTTGTATTCAGTGATTGATTTTCACGCATGTTTTAATAAATACAAGTATTTCGTCGAACCCTCAAAATTCACCAAGTCAGCCGAGTCAGCCAGCAGCACCTTTCGCTGGGCTTGCCAATTTTTCATACACTTTTGAAAGGGTTTTTTGGTTTTTGGCTTTTGGCACACACTGAATTCTCTGAAATTCCTGGCCTTCAGCTAAATTTGAAATTTTGTTGATTTATGGGCAGATTAATTACAATATTTCAAGTTGATGTACAGCATTTGTTAAATATAATAAAAGTTAGAAATATTTTTTACTAAGGTATATTCATTCAATTGGTATTCATACCATTTTTGAGCACACTTTTAGGCTGGCAGGTTTGTGCATAAAATGCAGTTTTCGGCTTTCATACCAAAAACGGAATGGCTTCGTTCAAAAAAACTTGTAAAATTCTTTGTTGCGAAATATTTTAAAGCTTTAAGCTTAATACATAATTGTGACATCTTCAAAAAAATGTAAACGTCAGTCAGTTTTCAAAAATATTTGAATTATAATATCTCTCAAAATTAGTTAAAAAACAGGTTAATTATTTTTTAATTTTAGAAAGTCAGATTTAATTATAACTCATTATTTTTAAAAGCCCGGTGGATAATTATGTTCAATTTATAAGACCAGTGCACTTAATAATTTTTTATGACATATATGCAAATAAGCCAGATATTAGTATAATTTTTTAATGTAACCATAAAAAGATAAAGAGTATACAAAGCAGGTATTTCTTGGACAGCATTAAATCGGAATTACTTGGGCTGGTTTCGATTGGTTTAGCTTTGATTTCGATTGGGCAGTTCCGATGATTCACAATTCACCGAGGGTCAAACAGTTGGTTTCCGCTAATTATGGGCAGGTGATTTTTAGCATACATTTCATTTCGTACACACAATTTGAGAGTTACATAAGTAAAGTGTTCGAAAAAAATTAAGGAAGCACTCAAGTGTCTGTGTAATTTGCAATATTTTTGTGGTCCCTGTGGACCACCTGGATTTTTAGGGGAGCCCTAAGTGGGTAATGCTCTAATGGCCATCGCCACAAGCGAATGTGAAAATCCATAAAAAAAAAACGGACCGAAGGCGTTCGCATATGTAACTATTTTAACCCAACTTCTGCACCTGGTCAGCAAAAAAAAAGTAATACCACACGCATAATGAACAAGCCAAATAGGTAAATTTACGTTTTACGACCTCCGCTGATGAAGTGGTTTGCATTAATCTGGAATCACACAATCTACACGTTGAGTAAGGAAAAGTTGGGGCTCGCAAAAATATTTAAGGAGAATTATTTAATTGCTTAAAATTATTTTGTTATTCTGTGAGCAGGGCTACGACAAAAACTGATGAATCAAAAATTATTAATTAAATATTTAAAATCAATTCGGTTCTCTGAAGTATTCTTTTTTTAATTTTATACAAAATATTTACAAAAAAAAAAATGTTCTAAAAAAACGGTTTCTAATTTTTCCCTTAGTGTTTTGTAATTTTTGGCATTTGTTTTCGCAATTCACGCGATGCTAATTTTATGCAAAATGTGTAAAAATATTATGGTGGCCGAAAAAGTGGTTCAACTTGATCCCTTGGCCGCATTCTAGATCTTGACTCACCCACGGAATAGTAAACACAAACAGAAAAACACGCGGCAACCGAAAAATATGTTGCACATAATTACGGCTAATGCTGCTTAAATTTATTGCGATCGGCAGGTCCATAAAAAGCCTCACTCAAAATAACCAGTACGTTTTTATTAATTAATTGTGTGTGTAGTATATATGTTGCATAACGAAGCCACCCCGTGTATCCACTGAAAAGCGCAATTAATGATGCGATCGGCAGCAGCCGTTGAACCTATAATTTAAATCGAATTGACTCGTTTTTCAGTTATTTTTCGTCTCTATTTTGTTGATTTTGTCGTGTGGGATGTTTGTTTGTACTCGTATTTTGGTTTGTTTTGGGTTACAGTTTTCAGTTTTCGCAGTTTTCAAAGATTTCAGCGCTAACTGCTATGATTTATACGCGCTTTTCCCAATAATTGAAACGAGTTTTGTTTTTGCGCCAACACACGAGAAACAAAACAACATTATCAAGTGGCAAAGCGGCAAAGCGCGCTAAGTGGCCAAAAAACGAAATGTATAAAAAAAAAACGAAAATAAACGGATCTCTTTGGCATAATTGCCACACGATTATGCAACCGGCAGGCAGCATTAGACATTATTTACACACAGGATCACTTCAACTTGGGCGGAAAATAAAACCAAATGCCGAATGACATTGCCCGGCCCGTGTTTCATGTTTTGTTTTCCTTTTCTTCCACTTATGGCAGCCTGAACATTTTTCTTTTTTTTCCCCCCAGTTTGGATTTCCATCTTCCATGGCAAATGGAAAACCTGTTGCTCAACTGCTCTAACCTTAGCCGAAACCAAAAGCACACACAGCATTTGCCGTTCGTTTCGTTGGATGTTTTACCAGCGTTTTACCAGCATTTTCATCATTTTCAAGTTCAATGTCCATGGCCCTGACCGCCGGGTCCCCTCCTTCTTTTTTATTTTATTTATCAGCCGGATTTATTTGTCTTGGCCAAAATCAGACAAGCCGCGTAGATTTCCTGCTCACAGGCACAGGCAGGCACCCATTGAAAATGTCCACGTTTGACATGCACTGCGGTGAAGAAATGCACTATAATTAATCCCCTACTTACTTATTTTGTATAATTATATATTTCTCAGGAAAAAAGTCAAAAAACTTTCAAGTAAAAGTTTTTTATGCTCGTAACTATTTTATAAAATCGATATGCGCATGGTAAATTTCTGGTATTGCGTTTTGAAGTTTTTTTATGCTAATTGATGCCAATTGCTAAATAAATAAATATTACTTACAGCATAACTAACCATTATTCTATTTAACAATACAAAGAAATAGCCAAGATTTCAAAGCAGCCCCTTTTGTGTAATTTAAATACTCAACTCAACGAAATGTCCTTAATTTATTCAAGCCAAAGAAAAGAATTTAGATCGCTCTTTAAGTGAGATATGGCTAATTACAAATGTCTTAACCAATTTTGTATTTAAATTTAAACACAAGATTTGCGATTAGTCCACCTTATGTGTATTTAAATTGCCGACGAGGAATTCGCCAAATTTATTCAAGCCAAAACAAGAGAAATTTAGATCCCTCCTTAAAAGTGTTTTAGCTCAGAAAATTGCATCCCTAAATGGCGCAAATAAGATGCCAATAAAAGGCATTGTTTGTTCACTGCGCGAAAAGTAAACTAAGCAACTAAGTGAATTGTGAGTAGAGGTTGCCGTGTAATTTGATTTCTGTGTAAACTTGCACGAAACACACGAGCACGACGAACATTGCCTCAGACATAATTTGCCTGCAATTGCGGTGCACTTGTCTCATGCAAGCGGAAAAATCCGTGGTCGAAAAACGCTTAATGGTAATAGTATTTCCATCGGACTGAAGCTGAAGCTGAATCTGAAGTTGGAGTGCATAAATCAGCGGGCTGCATTCGAAATTTATGAGCGACTCGGCGACTTATTTATCTTAAGCCATCAGCCGAGTTGACGAGTTGCATTTCTTATGGGTCTTTAAGCCACTCAATGTGGTAATCGGGCGATAATCGATTAATAATCGCCCCGATCTATTCAAGGCAAACATTTCCATTAGTTGTGGCGTGGCAGTCCGAGAAAATAAGATAAGTGTAAGTGTAAGTAAATGATATATTTTGCATTAACTGGCATACTGGTTCGGCGGTTCCGCAGTATTGAGATTTATTTTTAATGTACAACTACTTTTGCCAGCAGTCAAAACATTTAAAAACCACAATTTGCAGCTTTCAATTAAAATAACTAAATGGAAAATATTCATAAAGAAGCACTTACTGAATCTGGGTTTATTGGCGTAAAATAAATTTCGTTACACGTCTTTATAGGTAAGCGGGAAAAAATGGGCATGAAAAGCTTATACTTTCTGAACTAAGGATAATTGATCGTTAAATAAATCGAACAGGTTTTTTTTAGGTTTATGACAAAGAGGATTTCGAAATTATTGGTGGATAATTCAAAATCAAAATTGAAGTATGCAAAAATGAACTATTTGTTTGCTAAAATCAAAATATGATAACATAAAAAAAGGAAAAGGATCCGCATCTGATTAAAACAATAAGTTCTTTGTAATTTTAATACATCAACTTTATAAAATAAAAACAAAAAAAGGAATAAAATATTTTTTAAAACATTTTAAAAATGTCTAGTTCCACCACCATGGAGGTGGAGCAGTCACGTAGTCGGCCACATTGAGATAATCCTGTTGGACGTCGTCGGGCACAGATGATTCATTCGATTCCGAGTCCCCAATTAGGGAGTCATCATCCTCCAGCGGCTGAGCAGTCGACAGGGAACTCATTATGGCGAAGATGAGCACCAGACCCAGGATGATTTGTTGGAACAGCTTCATGTTGGAAATACTTTTGGAGTTGTGAGTGAAGAAAGTTATCTACGGCTGCCTTTTATAGTTCAATCCATTATACAAATCGGAACTAGAACTCAGGTGTTTTATTTTCTGGGTATTTTCCGGCCAGCATTAGTATTGTTTACCTTTTCACATTTAAAAACTGGGCTATATTTGCTTTAATTTTTTGGCACGCGAAATTGAGCTGGTCAGGGTTGGTTTTATTTTATTTTGTCTTTTCTTTATCTTTATCTTCCAATTTTTTTTTTGCTGCTACTGAAATTGAGATGTGCGTGTTGTGCTTGCTTTTTTCTTTTCGCTTGACTATCGTTTATTGATTTCCTGGTGAAAAGCTGTATTTGCTGCTGCCGCTGTCGCTTTTGCTGCCAATTAACTGGCTAAAGAGTTGCAATGCTGCCCCATGTTGCAACATTGAAAACGTCACAGCCATGTCGTCCACTGTCTTGTTTTGGCACTCGCCTCGCCGCAATTAGTTATCAATTAAAAACTATTTAAATCGCAACAGCTAAGCGACTGTTATTCGGCTTCCTCCTGGCTTAATGGTATCATTAGCCATTTGGCAACTTTTCTGGGAAGATACGAGATGGCACTTCCTCGATTTCAAGTTGTGTGGCATTCAAAAATAAATATATATGAATTCTAATATTGGCACAGAAAATGTGAAAGATATTGGTTGGCCTTGATTCCTAAAATCATAAGTTTAATTAAGTTTTATATACACAGAAAAAAACTGATTAATGTCAAATGTTTGATTCAAACATATCAACTTGGTATTTAATCATATCATATAAAATACCAAATTGAGTATTTTTAAACAAATAAAATGTAAAAGAAGATAAACATAACCTTTATTCATATCAAAATGATATGATATAAAATTGACCAGACCTGATTTGATCTTTTGTCAATTTTTTTCTGTGTATAAAGATTGTTCAACTAATTAGTTAAAGCTTGTGATTTCCTTAATTTTTCACTATTATGTTGGTAATCTTAAGAACTTGATCAGAGAACAACATCATCTTTGAAAAGTTCAAATTACAGAACTTGGGCAATTATCAGCGGGAGTGGTTGAACTCGTCCAGGGTTAAATATCGATCGATTGTGGTGAAACGATCCCCGCTGCTTTTTCGAGTGTAATTAGTGTTATAATTTTTATTTTATTATATTGTATTCTTTGTATTTCTTTTGGCAATGTGAAGGACTGTGTGTGCTGAAACACAAATTGTAAGCCTCTAATTATGCATAAAAACTGTGCCTTTGTCTTGAGCAATTAAAAATTTAGCGATAGGCAGCAGCAGCAGCAACAACTATAAATATTATAATAATTATCAACTGAAGCTGAACCGGCCAAAGCCAACTAATTTCTGTTTGAACAACTGCTGCTAAACGGAGTTCTAAGTGGGGTGGTGTAGTTTATTTTTTGGTGTTTTCTGTGGAATTACCAGCTGGATGGGTAGGTTTAAGCCAAGCTAAACGACCGACCTTGTGTTTTTTTTTTTTTGGCCACGCTCTGCTTCCTTGCCTTTTGACGACACGCTGGCCAGAAAGTGCATTGCACATGGAGAAAAATAATAGTATTAAAACTATTGAATTGGGAAATTTTGTATAAGTAAAAAAATAAAAGCTATATAATATTATACAATATTATTGAGCATAATTAATTTAATTTTATTATTTATTTTCTTCTGCGTTTGCACTCAGTTGTCCGTCGATTGGCCAATTTTTCAGATCGGAAATAAGTGTGGCCCACAGAAAAGCCAAGAAGCCAAGAGTTCCGCTTTGGCTTTTCGATTGCCTATTTTGGGGGCGATTACGCATACGCCCCGGTGTCAAGGCTAACAGTGATTTGCTCTAAAAAAAATTAAAAAATGTATGTACTTCCACCATTGAATTCAATTGAATAGCGAAACAGGAAAAAAGGGGTTTTGCTGATTTGGTCGAAGTGTGGAGCACTCTTTATTTTACAAAATGTGTATTAAATAACAACATTAAGTACAAAGTATCTTTGTTATTTAAAGGTTTTAAAAAGGACAAAACGAAAATATGTAATTTCGATTTTTAATTAAAATGTATATTATATCTATTATTATTTATCATAATAAAAAATATTCAAATTTATTCTCATAAAAATTTTAAAACAACTTAAAGGTAATGAACGTATAACTCTTCCAAAAGGGTATTCAAAACAATCCGAAATAATTCGCCAATTGGCTAGCAAAATAAGCAAATATTCGAGTGACTTAGTGACCCACCACTCCCAATTTTTAATTTTAGTTTTTTTGGCCCTCTGCCCACAAGGCTGAAACGGTTTCGATTCCGTTAGCGATATGCTGCCACTGCCACCAATGCATCCATCCATCAATCAATCAATGCGAACATTTCACTTTACGATCGAATCGAATCGAATTGAATCAAAGCAAACAAATTGAGTTACAAAGCACGGGCCAAAATCGCCAATCATTTCCCAAGTTCCGATCGGAACCGGTTCGGTTTTTTGTGGCTTAACTCTATGGTTATGGTATAGAATGAATCAATGGGGTTTCCAAATCGTTAATCCAACGCCTAATACTCCCTGGTGTTTTTATTTCCCACTTTCGATTAACTTTACCTGATTAAATTTGGGCAAAACTTTAGCTTAAAAGCTATTCGCCAAATGGTAAATGTCTTGGGCTTTATCATAAAAGCTCGAAACTAAATGGATTGTGTATAGGAATCAGTTTAGTCTGGTAAAAAGTATAGGTAATTGTAAAATGTAGGTAAATTTCGTAAGCCAAGAATAATGGTTTAAAGATTTTTATTTATTCCCTAGATTCTTGAGTTCTTAAAGTAAAAAAAAAACAGTTGTTTATATGTACAATTTAACTCTGGGATAACCTTCAGTTAAACCACCACGGCGCCGGAGTAGGTGCATAGTCGTTCACATTAAGGTAATCAGGATTGGGTGGGTTATATGATATCGAAGTGGGTGGAGCCCATGCTCGATTCTCACTCTTCTCAGGTTCTTCGGGATCTGATATAATCCTCCTTCTTCGATTCCATCGCAATCTTTTGCTATTCGGCCGCTGTTTAACTCTATCCAGTTGTTGGGTTTTTGTATTCTCTTTTATCCGCTGACGTTCGATTTCATTTATAGATTCCAAAATCATATTCAACTGTTGATTGCTTTCCTCCAAAAGCATTTCGGAACTTTTCTTTCCACTTTCAACTCGGGTTGAGAGGACGATAGTCGTCACCGAGACAATCACCATACAAATAATCCACCGACTCGACATAATGCTGAACTGAACGCAATCTAAAGTGTTCTCGGGTAATTATCCACATATTTATACTCCACATAGATAAGCTACATGTGTTTATATTGCATCGATTATTCTTGACATCGTTTGGTTCTCTGTGTTTGAAGAACCCCTTACGTACACCTTACGTAATGCTGGGTAAATGTTTGGCCAACATACAAAGCCAGAGAGTAGAGTTATTAAAGATCGAGATCGGCGTAATCAAGATTAAGTTCAACACTTTTCGGCCAAGAGAAGTATTACAAAATTATATCAATAAATTATACCCAAAATAAAAATAAATGCCCCTGATTTAAATTTTTATGTTTTTCCTTTCGTTTTTATTCAATATATAATTAAAAGTCGTTTTTTGTTCATAATTGTATCTCAGAAAAAAAATATAATAATAAATGTATCTTCTATGCACGCGTCGATTTGGATGCGTGTGATCTCAGTGGAAAAAAGGAGGGGGCAAGGTCGGGGTATACAAATAGATATATATACCTATATAGAATATATATATATAATAGGGCACAGTTACTTCGCATTTTTTCGGGGACTTTGTGCTTAGTGGTCTACGAGTGGCTTGGATCTCCTCGTTCTTGGGCTCGCTCCATGTTTTCCGTTCTGGTGACTTTTCTTCTTTCCTTTCTCTTCGGCGCAAGGAGGGATCTTACTTACATAGTATATCCGCATTTATCAGTAGTTTAATTAGTGTAATATGTGTACAAAGCTAACGAGTCCTTGGGGGAGGAGGAAGAAGGATTACGAGGAGGAGGAAACTTAAAGGACGTACATATATCAAACAATTTTTAAGAGTTATTATCGCTTGTGTGGGCCATCATCCCAAAAAGTTTTGTTTATCTTCTTTAGGATTATGCAGCAGCGAATCGTGACGAGTATTATATTCAGGATTCAATGGGCGGATGGCGATGTGTATTTGATTGATTGATTGGATTGGATTCGGATTGGATTATAGTGGTGTGTTTACAGGATCGTTCCTGGTTTGCGGAGCGGCAGACGACGACGCTGGCCCAAAAGTCCCAGTCCACGGGCCTGCTGTTTGGTGGTTGCCTCCGTCGCCTCCGTGGTTTCCGACTCCTGCTTTCCAGCGGCTCCTTCTCCGGCGGACTCGTCGCTTCCACCGGCGGACGCCTCCTCCTTGGCGGGCTGCTCCGCGGAGGAGTCTGGCGATGAGTGCTCCTCCTCAGCGGGGGATTCTGTAAACGGAAATAGATGGATTAAAGATTTATCCAAGGATTTTATCGAAAGGTGCCCCAAATCGCATTCCTTCTGGGCTCTATGGCTCCTAAAGTGTGCACTTTAAATATCTAATAATCTGCTTTTAAATATTTAGCTTAGATTTATTCATAATTTTGATGTCTAGGAAAATAATGAACCCAAAATGTACTTTTAGAGTTCCATAACTTGACTTATTTGATACCGATTTTAAAGTGGTATACCTCTAAAAGTTTGTTTTGCAGTTCCCTAAAAGACTGCATTACAATTTTACATAATCACCAGATACAGTGGCGGAAAAAATAATATAAACGTTTCTATTATTTTTTCCGCATGTGTAAATATTTGTAAGTTTTAGATGACTTGAAAAATTATGACCCAAATCAAAGCTTGACCAGAGTTTCCCAACTCTATATTTTTTCTTCTAAATATTTCATATTTCTTCATGGTAGATTGACCCCCATTCATTACCTGTGGTGGAGCTGGCTCCCAGGTGGAGTCGTCGCTTGGCCAGCAGGGGATTGATCTTCCTGGGCGCGGGGGCGGGGGCTGCGGCTGCCTTCGGCTTGACCGCATCAGTCTTGTGCGTGAGGGCGTTGAGGCGTGGCCGGGTCTTGAGGCGATTCAGCCCGGAAACGGGTGCCGCTGGAGCGGCGGAGGAATCGCCGCCAGCCTCGCCAGCTTTTTCGCCGGCCTCGCCGCCCGCCGTTTCCTCCTCCTTGACGTCATTGTGATGGCTACTGCTGTCGGCGGCCGAATCCTCGGCAGCCGCTGGCGTTTCCTTGGGCGCCTCCGTGCTGCTGACTCCCGACCTTCCCAGTTTGCCGCGGGGCAGCAGGCGATTGCCGCCGGCGCGGTGAAGATTGAAGCGGGACGGACGCACTGGCTCCGCGGGAGAAGCTGCGGCGGCGGCGGGAGCAGCAGACCTGGCCTCCTCGGCGGAATTGGAGGAGCCACTCTCAGCTGCCGTCTCACCACCCTCTGGATTGGCGGGTGCCTTGGTGGTGGTGGTGCGACTGCGTCCACGAAGTCCTCCCAAACCGGGACGACCTCTCAGTGTGCTCCTTGCGGTGGTGGAGGAGGGGGCGGCCGATTCCGCGGCGGCGTCACCTTCAGCCGGGGATTCCTCGCCGGGACGCTCAGTGGTGCTCGTGGTGGTGGAACCGCGGAGGTTGAAGCGGTTGCGGGCTAAAAATAAATGGGATCAATTATTTTTTTTTTTCTGGGTTTTTGGTAAAAATATGAATTTTTCTTTTTTGTTTTTTTGCTGTAACTTGGCCCAAAATGGTCCTACACCAAAAATACAAACTGTTTTGAACAGATAACAAAATAATAAATAAATCCATGTAACTTTCAGTGTGATTTTGGAAAAATAAAATTTTCGCCAATTTTCACATTTTTTTAAGGTGGTACGTCATAATTTTTTACGAAAAATGGTCAAAAATTAAAATTTCCAGCTTTAAATGCCAATCGATTGGAAATTTAATGCCGAGTTCAGAAAGGTATGACAATCTATATTTGAATCTATATTTCAATTGTTTCGGACGAAAAACGAATTATTTTTTTGTGTAAAATTGTGATTAAATTAAAGTTTGTTTTCTTGTGTTATCAAAACTAGAAATCAGCCTTGTAATACAATTTAAATTTAAATTGACTGGAAATAACCCTGAATACAATTTACAATACTTAAGCTAATGCTTTCACTTCACTACAACTTCGTTAGTAATAACAATTTAAATTCACTTTCCCAAAGGCCTGAAACTTAATTTCGGGCTTAAGCGTTTTGCCCTTGACCCAGTTAACAAAGTCAGTGGCCGAAAAGCTGAAGGTGGACATGCTAATAACCGATCATTTACATGCCTTATTTTAAATAAATTAGATCTGATCAGTATTGATAGCCCTTTTGCTTTGATGGTTTGGTGTCGAAATAGTACAAATAAAAGCCAATTTACTATGTTAAATTGTTGAAATATTAGTCAATTATTACTTCATACTTTGTGTGCCTCAAGTTGAATGAATATTTATGGCTAAATTGGAAAACTAGTTTTGGTAGTCTATTTATTTATTAAATACTCACGTCTGCCTCGTGCGAAGCCCGTGCTCACAGGCTTAACTTCCTTGGCAACGACGACTTCCTCCTCGGTGGCGGGGGCGACGGATGATGTGGCTTCTGGCGAAGCGGTGGTCCTGGCTCCAGGACGAGATCGGCCTCCAATCGAGGGGCGCGAGAAGCGATCTAATGGGAAAAAGGGATATTAATATTAAAAAAAAATAACCATATAGCTTATATTTTGAAATAACTTTTAAAGGTGCCTAAAAGTAGGCAACAGTTTTTTTAATACTTTTATACACCTTTAAAAGTGATTTTGAAATCATTAGGATTTTTTTTTCATAATAATTAAACTAACTTCTTCCAGTTTTGGTGGTTTCGGTGGCCACCGGAGCCTCGGTGGTGCTGGTGGTGGTGCTGCCGCCCTCGGATCTGTTCAACTTGAAGCGATTGCGCCCGGCGAGACCATTCAATCCGGCTCTCCTGCCGCCGAAGAGTGAAGGAGCCGCCGTGGTTGTGGTGGTGGTGGTCGTGGTGGTTGGTGTCTCCGTGGTGGTCGTCGTGGTTGTGGTCGTCGTAGTGGTTGTGGTGGTGCTGCTGCTAGTCGAGGGAATCTCATCGATCAGCGTGGTCAGGCCATCCTCATCCGTGCTGGCGGTGTCGGGAATGAAGGTGGTAACACCTTCGCTGTCTGGAATTGCGGTGGTCTGCTCGTTGTTCAGATTCTCGTTGGTCAGAATGGCATAGAGATCGAGGGCGGCCTTCTCCATCGAGGGCGTGGTCTGTTCGGATTCCTCCTGATCGACGGGAATCGCCTCATCAGCAGCAGCAGCCGCCTCCTTTTCCTTTTTGGCCTGCTCCTCCTTGGCCTGTTGCTCCTTCTTCCTGGCGGCCGCCTCCTCCTGTTCGACGGCAATCACCGGCTTCAGCTCATTTTCACCCTTGCGCGTGGCCTTGGTTTGCTTTTCATCCGTGTTGAAGGTGGCACTGTCCACCAATTCCAAGCTGGGGCGCTTCACACTGATCTTCTTGCGTTCGGCGGCCGTTTCCAGGGAATCGAGAGCAGGCGTTGGTGGCACCTCGATGTTCTTGCCACGACTGGGGAATCGGGTGATCATGGGCAGACGTTCAGCCTCGATATCTTCAGAGGTGTCGGCGGAGGAGGATCTTCCCTTGGCCTTGCCGCTGTGCAGGCTATTCTCACTCGGAGTGGCCGCAGTGCTCCTCTCGATGTTCGTATACCTAGTCTTGCCACGCACCTCGGGCTCGACAGCCGCTGCAGCCTCCACCTTGCTGGGATCCTCATCCTCATCGTAGTAGTAGACATACTCGTACTCGTAGTCCTGACCATTGGGTCCCTTTTTGATCTCAATGCGAGATTTCTTGCTGTTCTCACTGCCCGCACCCTCGAGGGCAAAGTTTTGGTTAACGAACTCTTCATGGGGATCGACGACTATATCCTCGTCCAGATTGTCGATCTTCTTGCCAGCCGTCGGCAGGGTGGTCAACTGGGGAGCAGGTGCCTCAGTGGTGGAGGAACCCCTTTTGTGGGCCAATTCTGCTTGAGCGGCCTCCTCGATTTCACGCCTCACTTCGGCCAGTTCCTCCTCTTCGATGGCTCGCTTGGCCTCGATGCTCTTCATCACATCCTCGTTGATTAGGGCACTCAGAACGGGATTCAATTCGGGGCGCTCCTTGGTGGGCAGCAGGTTCATCGAATAGTCGGCGGAATCGGCGGCCCTTATGCTGATTTTGTGCGAGGTATGGAAGCCATCGTCTCGCTCCGCGGCTCCCGGATGTTTGTGCGAGGTCTCGAAGGGAATCGCCGACGCTGGATTTTCCTCGGCCAACTTGACTTGACTATTGTCGCTGGCAGATGTCGAAAGGGGATCCGCTGAGTCTGCCGAGGATTGGGAGGCCAGGAAAGCCAGAAGGAAACTGTAGAAGTAGAAAGAATAGCGAATGAGAAGAAGAAAATTGTATTTATGGTCCTTCAAGTCGGATTTCGACAAATAGAGTTTTCTTTCTAATGAACCTGAACCTATTTCTTTTTTCTGATTGCTCTTGAGTTTGTCTTTTCATTGAATATAACATTTCTTTAAAAGCTTTACCCAAAAATGGGAAACATTAATGCTTTTTGTGGTCCTTCGAGCCGGATTCTAAAGAGCTAATACTATTCCCTTTTATCCTATTGCTCATCAACTTATCTCTTCATTGGCATTAATATTTTCTATTTTCCAGATGGACATTGGCTTATCAGCTTGCTATTAAAGAAAAACGAAACTCAAGAAAAGATTAATAGCTCTCTTTGATAATTTGATTTGAAATTAATTTGAGAGTAATGAGCTTACTTCACTTGCGATGAAAATCTCTCCTGTCTTGACTTTAATAGCTTAAGTGCCCAGCTTTGCATTATCCAGTGCCCCATCTGAATTCGTAGCTCAATGCATTCAGCCATGTCTAACCCAATTAATCTTACACAAAAAACTCTATAATCAGACCGGGCTTTAACTTCAACCTCAACTGCATAAGCTTTACACTAAGAGAAAGGTATGTGGGCTATTGGAAAGTTTGTAGACTGGCAACTCCTTGAATTCTTGTACTATATTCTATTTGTTTATTTAAACTTAATTAATTTTTTATTTAATTATTTGTTAGTTATTTAATAATAAAATAAATTATTAATTATACAAATATTTCCTAATAGATTAAAGGGTATTAATCAAATCGCTAGACGCCTTTTGGCATTTCTTTCTGGTTTCTGATCGGCGCGTGCTCCTAATCAGCCATCACGGCTAGCCGGTTATTAGTTTTTCGCTTTTAGTTGGCTTTTTCAGCCTTTTCAGCTTCAGCTTCAGCGATCTTTGATGTGCTGCCTCATCTCTAATCTGGCATGAAAAACCTTTCACAATTTCATTAGCCACACAAAGTCGATTGCGCATGCGATCATGATTTGGCCATCATCATCATTATCATCATCGTGTACGTCTAGCCGCTGAATGGAGCGTGCACCACCGTATAGCACCACCAACACCACCGGCTATACTACAGCACCACCGCCACACAATAGTTCATTGGGCTCTGCGAATCCGCATTGCAATGCAATGAAAGCGATGCTCAAGGCAAACCGCAAAACGGTTCCAAAACGACCGGGAAACTAGAGCCAGGAATCGCAAACCGGTTGTTCACAACAAAATACAAAAGGTGTTAACCCATTTCAATTCCAGACCAGATCAAACCAGATCAGAGGTCCCCGAGTTTTGTTGGGTTTTTCATTTCCAGGCAGGAAAATCAAAAGCATTAACAGAGAAAATAAATTAAAGGATTTAAAAGATAATGTAAAAGAAAAAATTATGAGAAATTCTGTTCCATTTTCTTTTGATCTTCATTTGATCTGCTTATGATCTTCTGTCGATTTTCTTTTAATCTCTTTTGAATCTTCTTTTGATATTCTTTTAATCTCCTTTCGATCTTCTTCTTATCATCTTATGATTATACTTTTTTTTATAATTAAAACATTTGTAAAATCCAAATATTTTTTTCCTGTGCATGCGAACAGAGCGCTCTTGACGATAACTTTTAACATTTTGAATTATGTGCAAGTCTGGCTGGCTGGCTGGCTGGCGTTCACTTCTCGAACAAGTTTTCGGGGACTAGCAACGAACAACCAACAAACAACCAACGAACGAACGAACAACATGGGCTGGCAACACCTTACTGCAAAGGTAGACAACTTCAACTTATTTTAATTGCAACAGCCCCAAAAACGGGCAGCTCAACAATGGCCAAAAGCCATAAGTCTGCGACTTTAAGAAAAGTTATAATTATGGCCACATCCACGTAGACGTGCAAATAAAAATTGCTGCTGCAGTGAAGTCAGTCGTCTCCTTGGACAAAAGGGTCTGTTATGCATGAGGTGACAATGCACACAGCATATATATATTTTCCCATTAACAATTGCAATCCGAAGTAATTGCCACAAAATAATATGTGCTTAGTTTCGGCTTAGCACAAAACAATTAAATAATAATACAAAATACCAATCGAAAGTTAAATGTCATTCAGGCATTTAATTTTAAAAATTAGACCAGGGCCAAAAATATTAGGATGTCATCAAAAGTGTGAATAAGATTCCCCAATATTTAGCCTTCAAATAAGTTGTACAATAAAAAATAAACCAGCAAAAATACCGACTATTTAATTAACTTCTTTTTCATTCGGTTTCAATCATGTTTCTTGTTTCCGAAACTCACGTAATTTCCCGCAGTTTATTAGCTTCAATTAGCTGCTCAGACATAATCTGTGTAAATGACTCACACGCAGAATGTGGTGTGTGAATCGAATTCCAAAGAATCATTTACACTCATTCATGGCAAGATTGCCTTGACTTGGATTGCCATTAAAACACCTTCAACAAAATTGGATCATTTATTGCCTGTTTCTCGAGACATTTAACGGCATCCACTGGCATTTTGGCTACTTTAAGCAGTTAAACGATGGAAATTAACTAAGCTGAGTGATGATATTTTGTGACTTTAATTGCTACACGGTGAGAAAAACGCATGGTTTTAGTTTACAGTATTGGTAGTTAAAATAAAATAATTAGCTAGGTTTAAAGAGTGAATAATATAAATTAATTTCACAATATTTATGAGAATGTTTAAGTTAAATATAATTATAAATTAAAAAAAAAGTCTTTAAAGCAACCTACATTTTTTTGTAATTATTAAATATAAGTTTTGCTTAAAAAATGCCATTACTTAGAAGAGATTTACTACCCACTTTTAAACGTTTTTCTGAGTGCCCTATTACCGCTATGGTTGGGAAAACTCTGTGATAAATATATGTGTGTATAATCTTCATGTGGGTAACTCTTGACGGAACTCCACTCCCAATCTTAACCCCTTGCTTCCCATTGTGTTTCATTTCTTTTCTTTGGCGCTGCACTTCATGCAACCTGTAAAAAAAAACATCTGTGGAAAGGGAGTGCTGTTAATTTGTTTTTTTTTTCATTCAGCCTGTTAGCGGGTGTGGCATGCAATTTGTATTATAATTTGGCAATTCATTTTGGCTAAAAACAGGAGAAGAAATATATGTATTTGCGGGTGCTTTTCAGCCTTAGCTTCGGATTCGAATTCGGAATTTGGTTTTAAGTTTTTCATAAACTTCGGCGGCCATTGACGTTTTCGAGAGGCAGTGAAGCGGCAATAAGACAGTTAAAAAAAAACAACAAAAAACAAAAAACTGCTAAATCGGCAGCAAGATTTGCAATAGCAACAACCATATTGTAGCAGCCATGAAATGTAAAGTAAGTTTTGCATTGTTAAGTGGATGCGTCGTCGTCTTCGTCTTAGTCGTCGTCTTGCCAAAAGGTTTGTTGACTTCACCTCTCGCAATTGCCTTGCATTTTCCACCGCACATACAAATAAATATATGTTTTTTCTGCATAGTTGACCTTTTCGAAAGAGAGATCGCGGCACCTCGCCGGTTTGACCTTTTGTACAATAAAAAAAAAAAGAATACAATAAAAAATATCATTGCCACGCCTTCATCATGCATATTAACCCACTGATTGACTAACTGTCCGTGTGATTGATCAAGGTTAACAGTCCGCTGCAGGCGAAAATTCGGAATAAAGCCAAAATAAATGGTGATGGACTATACATTATTTCATATTAATCATATTTTCTTTTTAATCTTCAGTCCAAAAATTGGGAAACAGTCATAGTTCATATAATTATTAACTTATAGTTCATTCTAGTCAATAATTAAAGGAACTTCCAGTTATCTTCCTGTTATTTTCCAGTTAATAATTAAGTGGACTATGAACTATTTTCCAATAATTATTTTAAATTGTGTTTCTGAACAACAAAATTTAAACATCCTTCAACAAAATTTCTTTAAGCAAAGGGGTATTTCCTTAAAATGAATATACCTATAACATTAAATATTTTCAAAAGCTGGCCTAAAATAACAGCTTCCTCTAGCTTTTCAAATATTTTATTTATAGAAAACTGAAATGTTTTTTCCCAAGATGTTATAACTAAGCATTATCATAGTACCATAATAACATCTACCTACTAAACCCTAAGCTAACTTTGCGTAATCCGCCAAATCGTTAACTTGACCTTGAACGACAGCTGCAATTGTTTATTTATTTTTTTTTGCTCTAAGGGGTCTTTTTAATTATTTGTTTAATACACTTTACTTACATTTTGAGCAGCATTTTGAGCTGTTTTTGTTGTTGCTGTAGTTGTGGATCCTAGGTTGCTCTCCTTGTTGTTGTTGTTGTTGTTGTCAATGCTGTTATAACAACTTTTTCGTTAACTGCTTTTTTACATAAATTTTATTGACACTTTTGAAAGTCAACTGCCTGCTTCAGCTTGAACAAAACAAAAAAAAAAACAGTAAAAAAAATGGGTGTAAAAATAAATAAACAGAGTGTAAAAATTGAATGACAGAAATTGATTTTTCGAAAAATCTTTAATTGTTATGCACTTTGGATTTGGTGTGTGTGAGTGTTTTTTTCATTTGTTATTTTTTTTAAACATTGGACACATTAGCTTGCTGCTGCTGTTGTTGTTGTTTAGTTGCTTTTGTTGATGTTGTTCACTTTGGTCATTTTTTCAAGTTGCACTTTCACTTTTCACTTTTTTTTTACGTTTTGTACACTATTTTTGGTTGTTTGCATTTATTTTTTGTCAGCAACAGAAAATCAATTCAATTATTTTTTTTTGGGTGAGGGAGTGTGTATGTTGTAGTGTGTGTTGATTAGTTGGGCAATAAAAAAAATTAGTTAATAGGACTGGGAAAATTGTAAAAAACTTTTCAACTATTTTTTAAAAACTTACAAAAAAAAAATTGAAAAAAATTGAGGATTTTTGAAATGCACTTTTTGCCGCTTTTTGCGGCTTTTTCGGGCTCAAGTTTCGACTGGGCTTTGACTTCTTAAACCACTGGTACCGCTTATTTTATATGGCTAACCAACACACACAAACACACGCACACACACACACCTGCCGGGAGGATATTATGTTGGCAGTACCATGGACTCTTTTCTGAAGACCTCTCTATATATATACAATATATATAGATATATATGTTTATCTTGGGTCTTCGGGGAGCAGTCACTTTCGATTTCGCTGCCAGCTGAACGTGAAATGGCAAAATGATGAACGCTTCAACCATCGAAAACCGTTGCCGTTGCCATTCTGCCGCCGTCGACCGCGGCAGCGACTGCAGCAGAGGCTTCGACTTCGACTTCGACTTCAACTTCGGCTTTAACATATCGGTAACATCGGGGATTGGGGATTGGGGATCGGTGATCGGGGTGTTCGGGGGTCTCTGGGGTCTTGACTGTGCGAAAGAGAGAGAGAGAGAAAGATGGACGAGCGCAGAACGATCGACAGGAGCCGTTGGTCTGTATTTCTTTGTTTTTATTTTATTTTTTTTTTTTTTGGTTACGACCATGTTAACACTAAATCATTCACACCTGCTGCCGATCGTTGTTGCTTTTCAATGGCGTTTGGCCACTAGGAAGTTCAAAACTGCACTAGTTTCGGCGGTTCGAAGAGGGATTCCAGAAAAAAAAACCCACACTCGAAGAAAAAGTAGGGCAAACAAATAGTTTAGGAGGTTTTGGTTTTAAATAAGTTTTATGACTAAAACTACAGAACCAAAAGGACCAAATTATGAAACTAAGGAATTCGCGTTAAAAAAAAGTAAAATACCGTGGTATATTCTGGTTTCAACTTATAATATGTAGGATATATAATTTTTTGACCGTTTTTCAATTTTAAACAGTAGCCGATTAAAAACTGTAGTTTTCACCAAATTGCAACAAAAAATTTCTCATTGAAAGAAATATATACATAGTAAAAAAAACCGAGACATCAATATGAAACTGATACTTTTATGTTTTATGATTTTTTCTTTGTGCAGCAGCGACATTCACTTGCATTTTTTGGGATGCTCTATGGTCGCCTCGGTCTCAGTTAACTGCTGCTGATTTCATAAGCCAAAACTGGTTGGCAGCTGGTCTCAAGGCCGTTTGTTCGTTCATTCCGTTCGTCGTCGTCGCCGTCGTTGATTAACCGCATTACACATACGCCGCGTTGGCCGCAGTGGCCGCTTTTTCTTAACCGCTTCGCCTGCAATTAGCAGGGCACGCAACATGCTCGCATATGCAAGCGAAGCAGCCAGCAAGCAGATCATCACCCCGGTTTTTCCCTGGCCACCCCTCACTCGCCTTCCAGTGATATTATCCAATCTGTGGGGCTTATTGATTAACCGTTGCTCATTTGCTTACCGAGTATTTATGCAATTCCAGCAGCGAGATCAGCAACTGGCCAACTGGATGCGCCATAGGTGGGGATATATATATATATCGTTAATTCGACTCCGAAAAGGTGGGGCAAAAACACCAAAAACACTAAAAACACCTGTGGACCAAAGCTCCCTGCAAATGTCCAACTGACACCTTTTTTCGCCGTCCAGGGTAATGGAGGGTATAATATTTCACAAAAACTAATTTGTTATCATTTTTATGGCATATTATACCAATTCTTTCAAATACTTTAGGTTCTCTTAGCCCTAATTTAACCCTTGCTTAACCCTTACTTAGCCCTTAACCTTTACTTAACCGGTATCATTTTCATGGTATATTATAAAAATTCTTTTAAATACTTGAAGATCAGTTAACCTATACTTAACCTCTACGTAACCTCTACTTAACATTTACTTAACCGTATTTTATTTTATTATACAATTTATAAACTTTAAAGGGTATTCCCATGTCGAGCTGTTTTATCAGCATCTTTCTTTTTCTTCTACATATTTCTGATGGCTTGAGTTGGGCTTCAGTTACGGTTTAAGTTTGGTTGGGGATTACCACACAAAGTGGTTAAAATCAACCTGCAAACCGAAGACAACATCTCTTTCCATCTCTCTCTCCTTCCCTTTTTTTTGGATTTTGTTTGAATTTTGTTTACTTTGCAAGTGAGATTGATCAATCGATTTTCTAATTAGCATTGATCGATAAACTGGAACGAAAAGTGATTTTTTTTATCAGGTGCTCTTTACTTTTCTGGTCCCTGTTTTCTTTTTCTGCACTTTGTTTGCTTGCAAATTCGATTATATGATAAATATTTGCAAATACCAAAAGAGGCAAACAAACAGAAGACGCTAAGAGCTTCCTTCTTTGCAGCGCGAGTGCAGCGAACCGGGAAGTGATCCTGAGTATTCGTATGCCATATAAGTGCATAATTAAGGGATCCTTAGGCACCTTTTGTGGCCTTGGTTTTTTCCCTTTGCAGCTGCTTGGACTGATTGAATTTCAAGTGATCGTCTTTTGGGAATATACTCGTAAGTATACCTAAATGACTCAAGCTATTCCGAGGTCACATTGATCAAGTTACCCGATCACATTGCTATGGATGCCACGATACGCGGACATGTGTGTAAAAAGTACCCAACTAAAAACCTACATAAAGAAAGAAAACCAGGTTTCGATCGGGCGGGCAAACAGGATGCATTTCTGTGGGCAGGGAGTGCCTCGAGGTCAGAAGTCGAGTTTTCGATGGTCATACAAAAAGTGATCAGCGAGTGGTGGTTGGTTGGTGCTAATGGGCCGAGGGCGTGGCACTTTGGGGCGGTGTCTCAAGGACGGGGAGTCAGGAATACAGAGGAGGGGTATAATGATTGCTAATAATGATGGCTATGATAATTACAATGTGGCAATGATTAAGGTCGGGGAGTGGGCAATTTGGTAATTGCATAAGACGGAAAAAAGATGAGGGAGAATTTAAAGGGAGAGGCAACAGAGTTGCCAGCTATTAATTTGCAGGAAGTACCAGGGTTGCCAGCTCTTAAAATTCTCTTATATTATTTCCTCGTGATAAAATAGCAATAAATTTGACATTTTATGTGCGAAAATTTGATAAACTTAATGTGTTGTAATCCCAAGATCACACTTTTAAGAGCCTTAACCAAAAGCCAAGTCCGATGACATCACAATGCCGTTTTTAAGCCTGTTGCTTTTGCCAATTCATGGGCCAAAACCAAAAAAATAAAGAAAAATACCAAATACCGGGTACCATTTCAAAGGAACCCAACCGGGAGATAAAAACACTTCAGGTACCGACTCTTTTATGTATTGTAAAAAACTCATAAAATTGTAATAAAAACAAAACCAGCAAAGGGGAAAAAAGAAAAGAAACAACAACTGTTATCCAACATTTCAAGTGTTCGAGAGAGTATACATATATAGCTATATATATGTGCTATATGTGGCCATATCTGCATACAGATGTACGCAAACAGGAGTGGCCAACTTGGAATGTTAATGCGGCCTGCAGTCGTTGGCGTCGCCGAGATCTCCGATCCCCAATCCACTCCAAAAAAAAGAAGAAAAAAAAAAAGACACTAGCACGTAGGCCCAGCCATCTTTCCGTCTCTTTTGCACACCATATGCCCGTCTCTTTCTCCCATTCAGCTGCTGTCTCTTTCTCCTTCTGCCGACGAGAGTTACGTGAACTTTGAAGGGAGCTGAGGGCTATAACTGACCGGCAAACTGGACAAGAGCCAAAAGAATTAAGCACTCCTTAAGACCCTACACTGAAAACAAAAACTATAGTGGATTTTCAATTTTTTACAAGTTTTTTAAATTCGATGTTATACTTTGGATTAGATATATGATATATGTTTTCAGGTCTAGATAAAAAAGCTAATTAAATATATTGAAAATATTTGTAGCCTTATTTCTGGGTACACTAAAAAAAAAGTCGTTTAGGTTTTCCGATTTTTTGTAGTAATTTAAATTTTTCACAAAAATATAATGTTGATAGCACCAAATGCAATTATTTTATAGTTTAATTTAAAATTTTTTATTTTTTTGTAGTTTGTCCTATTTTTTGGTTCAATTTTTGTTTAAAATATTTTATTGTGTTTCAGTTGCCTGTCACCCATATTTATCTCAATGCATATCGACTCAATTTTTCAGAGTTTTTCTTATATTTTCAACCTGGGCGCGCATGTAGAGCCAAGTAAAATTTATAACTGTCAATTATTATGCAAGAGTTGTGTGTGTGCGTTGCGCGGTGGAGGGGGGTGGTGTTGTGGAGCGGGGGAGGGGGCGTTGCAGGGTAGAGAAACTCCCCTCACAGAGCAATCAGGAAATACCCAAAGTTAATGGTTATAAACACCTCCCTCGGCCTCCCAAAAAGCAACCACTCGCATAATCTGAACACGTAGTACCCCCAGATTTAATACCCTTCTCTTGAATTTTATTCTCTTT